AGACTGTAACAGAATCTACAGAACTTTTAAATACGGATGCCTGGATCTTGTTCTTGAAAAACTTACTTAATGAGCTATAGATACAGGCCAGGTACTGGCTTTTATAAAAGCTCTCCTAGTGTTTCTAATGTGAAGTTAACATGCACTGCTGTAAGCCATTACTCACATTTTATAGATGGGTATTCCAATTCCAGCTAAGATGAACAAAGCACACTCCACCCTATACTGTCTACTGAGTACAACTAAAACTCAAGGAGACAAATATACAAGGGCTCTGAAAAGTAAATAAAAGCAAGCTGATTGGGGGAGAAAACAAAACTTGAACAAATGTGTTTCCTGGCTTTTATTTTTCTTCCTACATATCAAGGCTTAGACTTGAGAACAGACCATTCCCATAACTGAGCAGTGGATGGAGACAAAGAGAAACTCCTCTTGGCTAGAGAATCAGAAAAGGGGATGGAGAGTAAGGAGAAACTCAGCAATTTTCCTTCTCTCAGCTAAGCCTCAAGGCAAGCCTCAGTTCTGGGACTGTACACCTGTGGCTGGTGGCTGCCACCTAAATTCTATAAGAAAGTTCTCTGACAAAGAAACTAGGAAAAGATAATATGATCTAAAGCGTACAGAGGGAAGTCAGGTTATTTTTCTCTCATCACTCTGTCAAGGAAATGAACTCTGGTGTGGGAAGTGTATGACAGCACAGGGAGGCTAAAACCACCACAGTTTTCTAGCCAAAGAACCACAAAAAGAACTTCTGGGACCTTGAGTACAAATAAAATCATGGCAGGACTAGCAGTTGGCATAATGGCTATGCTGCTGGACTCCCATGTAGTTGACCACAGTTCGAGCCCCAGACCTGATGGCTTGAACTCACGCTGGGTGTGTGTGCATGCATGCCCAAAAATCCCGAGAGGAGAATGGAGGAGAAGGGACTATGGCGTGGCCATCCCCCCTGGGGGGTGATTTCTCACTTTCCGTCTCTCTCTCTCTGTCTTTTGGGCAAGTGCATGTGCCCTATAGCAAAAACATCTCAAACAAAACAAAACAACAAATAAAATCATGGCAAGGTGGAAGCTGCAGAAAGGTCCTCTAAAATCAATTATGTAATCTCAAACTCACCACTGAGCTATACATGTGTGGAACCAATCCAGGGCAGCTTTGCAAAGGCTTTATGGCAGGCAGCAGGTGGTGTGGTGGTTAAGGCACTGGATTTTCACGTGGCCAACTACAGCTCAAGTCCTGGCCCTGGTGGTTTGCTTTCTCACTTTCCTCTCTCTCTTTCTCTGGTGAGTGAGCACATGAACACTCTAGCAAATTAAAAATAATAACAGCAACAATGAAGAAGTCATAAATAATTCTTAAAAAAAAAAAAAAAAAAAAAAGGAGGGACCAGCAGTTGGCGTAATGGCTATGTCACTGGACTCCCATGCAGTCGACTGCAGTTAGAGTCCCAGACCTGGTAGCTTAAACTCACGCCAGGTGTGTGTGCACACATGCCCAAGATCCTGAGAGGAGAATGAAGGAGAAGAGATGATGGTATGGCCATCCCTCCTTGGGGTGATTTCTCGCTTTCTTTCTCTGTCTGTCTTTCTGGCAAGTGCACTGGCCCTACAGCAAAAACCTCTCCAAAAAACTAGATAAATAAGAACCATATGAAGGCCTGGACTACCATGCAGCTCCTAGGATAGTACACGTGGGACCTGGATAGCACTACAGAAGTTTTGAAACTACATTGGAATTGTCCTCACAGCCCACAACGGGCAATCTGAACCTAACCAAGATGACTGCCTGCTAAACAAACAAAACCAAAATCCAAACAAACGCATTCTTCAGACCAGCAGGTGGTATGGAGGTTAAAGTGGCTAGATCTGACACGGTTGGACATGGTTGTTCAAGCCTCAGACCTGGCTTCAACTTGAAAATCATGGAGGGCATGTGTGCATTCATACTCAAAATCCCTAGTAGAGAATGGAAAAGAGATGTGGTGTCCATCCCCCACACAGAGTGATTTTCAACGTTCCCTGTCTCTCTCTTGTGAGCACATGCACTCTGTAGCAAAAAGATTTTTTTTGGAGAGGTTTTTGCTATAGGGTGCATGCGCTTGCCAGAAAGAGAGAGAGGGACAGAGAGACAGAAAGTGAGAAATCACCCCCCAGGGAGGATGGCCATGCCACAATCCCTTCTCCTCCATTCTCCTCTCGGGATCTTGGGCTCGCACGCACACGTGCCTGCTGTGAATTTAAGCCACCAGATCCAGGACTGGAACCATGGTTGACTACATGAGAGTTCAGTGATGTAGCCATTATGCCATCTGCTGGCCCCAAGAGAGAGAGGGAAAGTGAGAAAGCAAGCCACCAGGTCTGGGACTTGAACTACTGTCCGCCATGTAGGAGTCCAGCACCTTTAACCACTAATGCCACCTGCCAGACTGGCAAAAAGATTAAAATTTAAAAAAGGGGGGGGATTCTTCTTCAGAACATTTTAATAGTAATATTCAAAATGTCTGTGATACAATCCAAAATTCTTTAACATATTTTACAGATGAGAAAAGAAAAAAAAAAGGAAGCCAAGATGTCCTAGGTCATACAATGGACAAAGAGTAAAGCCAAGACTAAAATTCAGGTTATATGCCCAGAGCTTTCTCTACAGCCAAGAGACCTCACTAGATAGTTCAATAACCCCAATGTTAAGAGCCTAAGAAGACACTGAACTGTGTTTTTCCATTTTCCTTTCTTACCTGTCTATAGCTTAAATACAGAAGCCTCATCTGCACTATGCTCTAAGAGACACAGTAAGTCAGAGGTAGTGAGTTAGGAGAGAAAATCCCAAGGTAATTATTTTCCAGAAAAGAAGACCCCACAGCTCCACGTAGTTTAGTGCTGCTCACTCTACCAGAAACATGTACAGCCTGGGCCATTTATATTTTAAGACGTTTAGAGTTTCTGCTCAAAAAGTAAACTTTTTCCCCCCAATGTCTTCTGTCAGTCAAAGAGACAGAGCAAATAAAACAGACTCTCCCCCTTAGGATGAGCAAATGGCACAATGGTTATGTTGCTGAACACCCATACAGTCGACCACAGTTCAAGTCCCAGACCCAGCAGCTTAAAACTCACATCTTGGCCACACGTCCAAGATCCTGAGAATGGAGAAGAGACTGCAGCATGGCCATCCCCCCACCTCCAGGGGTGATTTCTTGCTTTCTGTCTCTCTCCGGTGAGTGCACATCCCCTACAGCAAAAATCTCTCTCTAGAGAGAAAGACAGAGAGACAACAGACAAACAGAAACCCCTACAGGGTCTAAACATTCCAGCTTTAGCCAGCCCCAGATCACAGGGGCCATGAGGCCAGCATAGTCAGGAAGGTCTCTGGACATAAACCCAGAACATTCCCATGTGGTTCAGCCTCACAGAGCATAGCATTTTACCACGGCATCATTGTCTAGTCCTTCTCTTTACAACCTTTCCTCTCTCTCTAAAGTAGATCAAACCACTCATTTTTCCTCCTCAGTGCTACCATTCTACAGTAATTATTTCTATAATAGTTCATGTTCCCCTTTCTTTACTTGTTCATTACCCACTATTAAGTTTTTAAGTTATTTAAGGGACGTCTTATTCATAATTCTTCATCTCTTAGATCCCACCCTGCACTCAGCAAGAACCCACTAACTCTTCCCAGCTCACTTCCATTCCACAGCTGCTCCAGCACATCCTATATAACAGGTATCCAATACAACAAATAGCCCCCACTTTCTAAGCTTTGGCAACGCTCCAAACACTATGACAATACTCCATAAATTATTCCAATTAATCATTACAAGCCTACTAACCCACTTTTCAGATAAGGAGAGAAATATGCAGTTGAGATAACTAACTTGCTGTGGTCACACATTAGTAAGGCTCAGGTGAATGAACTGATAGTCCTGCCTTGTAGAAGTCGTCAACACTACCCAGGCAGCTAGAGTCTGACTTTAGTAAGCTTTGTGGGTTTCCATTACGCCTATACTCTGTTCATCGCAGATAATCAAAAGATAACCTAACTGTGAATATGTCACCTAGAATGTGAAACTGAAATATACCAAAATAAAAGAATATTCTTAACTTTTTATGCTTTCAGTACTCCCTTAAGCATCAAATTTTTTCCAAGGGAACAGTGTTTCTAGGCAACCCATTCATAACAAAGAATATGTACACAATTTAGGAGATACAAAACCAAACCCTAACACCAAGAACCCTGAAAGAAACTAAATTCTGTATTTATGTAAGCAAACATCTATTTTCTATTACTCTGGGTTGTGATGGTGGTGGGAGAGGCACCATAGTAGCAGAAGACAAATGTATGGTAATTAATAGCACAAACTTAATCTAGCTGGGCAACCTAGGGCAAGCAATCTTTTGGAGCCTATTCCCTAAAGTGCAAATTGGAAATAATACCGTTGCTTTTCAAGGATTGATGTGAGATTCAGATATTAACCATAAATACATAGCACAAAGCCTGGCACTTAGGCTATCATTAGAAAAAAAATCAACCAAATACAAAACCACTTTCTGCTTCAAGGCAATACCTACTGGATGGTCCTGTCTATCCTAGACATTCTAGTCAACCACAATTTCTTTTGAATACTACTTTTGTCTTTCCTAGCTTTTTCCATATTATGGCACCCCACATGTCATCTGTACCTCTGAGAGCACATCACTACTTGTGCTAGAACAGAGGCCTGCAGCAGCGTTCCCACCAGTGTGAAACAAAAGATGATAACTTCTTTTCAATACATTTTTTTTTTTCCAAAAGACAACGGAGACTGGTTTTAGTAATAGGAAAGATTACTTTTAGAAACCAACATCTACCATTTAAAAATTCTTTCTGGGAACCCACTCTACCAAAAACTTTACTGAAAGTAAGAATTCATCTAGTCAATAAATGGGAACTACTAATTTCCAATTAGCAATTCAAAACTTCTTAATCAACTACGGTTAGTAAGGACTGTATTTAAAACAAGCATTTACCTTCTATCTCCACCAAAGGTTCCTGAGTAAACTCCTGAAAGAATTTGTAGAAGAACTTACTACAAGCAGCCAGAACAGCTTTGTGGGCCTTAAAATGGTGTCCTAGATTAAAAAGACAGAAAGGAAAGAAAATTATATATATGCACAAAAATCAAATATAAAATTACAAAACAAAATTACATAAAGTAAAATGTAATAACTATACAAATCAATAAACTTAAGTCAGAACACCCTTGGCAGATACCTTAATAATCTAATTTAGATGTAAAGTCAAAGTAAAGATCTTAAGTCAGTTTCATAAAAGCTAGTTTAAAACACTGGTTAAGGAGCCTCCTACCACTTTCTGTTACCTTCAATCAAATATCCAAGCATATTCTTTGCAGTTGAAACTACTAAATATAAAGGCACCCCAAAAAGGTCCTACACCATTCTGAAAAAAGGAAACAACAACAAAAAACACAGAATAAGCACAAAGGTGGATGTGTTTGCTATGGGAAGCATTTTAATATCCCTAATATTTGAAAGTTCAGTCTATGCCAAACCTATAGTAAAGAATAGCTCTCCCTGAGAAATCCATTTTCATTAATTTTTCATATTCTCCCTCCAGGACCACTGGGAAACTAGGAAAAAAATCAACACTTCCAATGACTCCTGTGAGGGGATCCACAAAGCAGCCTACCAGAAGGAGGCTATTAACAAAACATTTTGAGACATCCTCTCTGTCCCCAGTGCCATCAACTTGCACTTAGGTGTGCAATGAGAAAACTTGAAGTTATAATGCAATGAACACCAGACCATGCCGAATGCTTGCCTGGCCAACCAGCCTCATGCAGCAGAGTCCACATACAGGAGCGGACACTGACAACTGCCCTCGGGTTCCAGTGCACAGCTTTCTCAGCTTCGGTAGGGAGCCCACAGAGTGGGTTTAAAAAAAAAAAAAGGCGGGTGACGGAAGAGGAGAGAAATATAAAGCCACAATTTCGTTTCTCTGCTCACTGCTCTACCCACCGTCGACAATCAAGGTGATGTCAGTAAACCGGTCCTGCTCCCGCTGTTCATTCAATCGGTCCAGGATCATTTTATGATGTTCAGGGAACTCCTGAAGGCATTCCATCGTCTCTTCGGCCTCCATGGCCGTCGGTCTGCTCTACAAAAGAGGAGCATGATAATGTACACCCATGAGCTCGGGCTGAGGAACAAAACCTTTAAAGCATAAAACAACAACAACAAAAAAAGCACAAAACCCCAGCAAAGTGAAAAGAAGGGGGAAGGGGAAGGCGAGAGGAGAGGAAGGCGAGGAAAGAAAGAAAGGCGAGCCGAGTGGCCGCCGCGCGTTGGGGGCCGGAGCCGCGGCCGCGGGACTCCGAGCCTGACCTAATTGGAGTCGGGAGACGCGAGCTGGAGCGGGGTGGGCACAGCGCCGGAGGCTCCCGGCGCCGGGGCGCGCAAATCCGGCAGGGGAGGAAACCCGACAGCCGCAGCGGCCCTCTAACGGCCCACAAGCCCTTCTGCCCGGCCTTGGTGACCGCACTCACTCAAGGAAGGAGGAGCGGCCCCGGGCCTGAGCGTCACTTACGTCGACGTACTGCGTCACCGCGTCGGGCTCTGACTGACGCGAACGCCTTCCGAGCGCCAACTGAGGCGGGCCACGCCCCCGCCCACCGCCCTCACTGAAGGGGCGGAGCCAACCACGGAGAGTCGGCGCTGGCGGAGAGCAAGGCCGCGCGCATTGAGGAGGCCGAGAGAGGTGCGCTGAGCCGATGTGCCGCCTGGCCGTGCGGGGAGCAGAAACCCAAGTCGCCACTCTTCCGCCTCCCGCCCTCCCCCGCCAAACTTCACGTGCGGGAGTATCCGACCCTGCGCTCAGCTTGAGCACACTAACC